ATTATTAGTATATATGCACTCAGTGCCTGAGCACTCAAATATAGCAATCAAATATGAGATCTAAAAAGAGAGATACATGACAATAAAATAGAGAACTTTAACATCCCACTTTCAGCAAGGAACTGATCATCCACACAGAAAATCAACGAAGAAACATCAGATTTAAAATGCACACTAGACTAAATGAACCTGACAGGCACTTACAGAACATTTCACCCAATAGCTTCAGAATACATGTTTTTTTAAACAACACATTGAACTTTCTCTAGGATAGAGAAAATTTGTTAAGACACAAAACACATCTCAACAAAGATTTCTAAAAATTAAAATCATACCAACTATCACAATAGAGTAAAACTAAAAGTCAATAACAAGACAAACTTTGGAAACTATGTAAATACATTTTAAAAAATCAAATAACATGCTTTGAACAACCAACAGGTAAGTGAAGAAACTAAAAAGAAAATTAAAATCCCTTGAGACAAATGAAAATGGAAACATCACATACCAAAACCTATTGAAGACAGCAAAAAGAGTTTATAGCAATAAATAATTACATCCAAAAAGTAGAAGAATTGCATATAAACAATCCAATGTTTCACGTCAAACAAAAACAAACACAAACCAAATTCAAAACTAGAAGGAAAGAAATAATAAAGATCAAGCAGAAATAAATGAAATAGAGACTAAAAAAATACAATAGATTAACAAGATCGAGGGGTTTTTTTTGAAAAGATAAACAAAAACAACAAATCTTTGGCTAGACTAAGAAAGAGACGACTCAATAAATATAATTGGAGATGAAAAAGGAGACATTGTAACAGATGTCAAAGAAACACAAAGGATCATAAAAGACTTTTATGAGCAAATACACTTCAGCAAGTTGAAAAATCTGAAAGATATGTGTAAATTACTAGACACACGCATCCTACCAAGATTAGACTATGAAGAAATAGAAAACCTGAGCCAGCCAATAATGTGTAACAAGAATGAATCATTAATAAAGTCTCATATCAAATAAAACTCCATGACCTGATGGTTTCACCGATGAATTCCACCAATAACTAAAAAAATAAATAATACCAATTATTTTCAAACTATTCTAAAAAGTTGAAGAGGAGGAACTTCTTCCAAATGCATTCTATGAAGCCAGCATTATCCTGATACTTAAAACAGATAAAGACACAAGAAAACTACAGTCTAATATTCTGTATGAATATAGATGCAAAAATCTTCAACAAAATGCTAGCAAAATGAATTCAACAGCATATTAAAAAGATCTTTTACCATAATTAAGTGGGATTCACTCTATGGATATAAGGATGGTTTAACAAATGAAAATCAATAAATGGGATATATCGCATTAATGGAATAAAGAACAAAAACCATATGATTCATTCACTAGACAAAGAAGAAACATTTGCTAAAATTTAACATCCCTTAATGATAAAAATTCTCAACAAATTAGGTATAGAAGAAATGTGCCTCAATCATAATTAAGGCCATAAATGACAAGCCCGCACAGGCAACTTACCAAATGAATGACAGTTGAAAACTATTCCTCTAGGTTTGGAACAAGACAAGGATGTCCACTTTCACTGCTTTTATTTAATGTGGTACTGGGAATCCTAGGCAAAAAAATTTGGCAAGAGAAAAGGCATTCAAAACAGAAAAGATGACGTCAAATTTTCCTTGTTTATAGACAACATGATCTTGTAGATAGAGAATCTAAAGACGCCACAAAAAAAGACTGATAACTAATAAATGAATTCAGTTAAGTTGCAAGATACAAAGTCAACACACAAAAATCAGTAACATTTCTATACACCAAAAGCAAATTATCAGAAAAAGAAATCAAGAAAACAATCTACTTAACAACAGCTACAAAAAAGATGCCTACAAATATGGTTAACCAATGATGTGAAAGATCTCTACAATGAAAACTATAAAACAGAAATAGAAAAAAAAATTATAATTTCATTCTTCACAGAAATAGGAAAAAAAAAAATCTAACACCACAAAAGACCTCACATAGCCAAAGTAATTCTGAGAAAAAAGAACAAAACTGGTCAGGTAGATATCAAACTACTTGACTTAAAAATATACCATGAAGCTATAGTAACCCAAGCAGTATAGCACCTGTATAAAAATAAACACATAGCTCACTAAAACAGAATAGAGAACACAGAAATAAATCCATGTACTTATAGCCAACTGATTTTTAATAAAGATGCCAAGAATTCACATTGAGGAAAGGGTAGTCTTTCCAATAAACAGTGCTGGGAATGTGGAATATCCACATATAGAAAAATGAAACTAGACCACTTTCTCTCTCTATATACAAAATCAACAAAAACAGGCAAATGGGACTATATTAAACTAAAAAGCTCTACATAGCAAAGGAAACAATCAATAGAGTGAAGAGAGCTTGTTGAATGGAAGAAAATATTTGCAAACCACTTAGCTGATAAAAAACTAATATTCAGAATACACAAAGAATCCAAGCAACTGAACAGCAAAAAACAAAACAAAACAAAAATAATTCAATTTAAAAGTGGGCAAAGGATCTAAATATACATTTATCAAAAAAGATATGCAAATCACCAGCAGGTATATAAAAAAATGTTCAAAATCACTAATCATTAGGGAATGCAAACCAAAATCACAATGAGATATTGTTTGAGTTCAGTTATGATGACTATTATAAAAAAGACAACAAAATAACAAATGGTGGAAAAAAATAACAAATGTGAAGAAATGGGAACTCTTATACACTGTTAGTGGGAATGTAAATTAGTACAGCCATTATGAAAAATAGTATGGAGAGTTCTCAAAAAATTAAAAATAGAACTACCATCTGATCCCACTATTGGGTATATAGCCAAAGGAAATAAAATCAACATGTCACTCCTATGTTTATTACAGCACTATTCACAAAAGCTAAGATATGGAATCAACTTAAGTATCCATGATAAGATGAGTAGATAAAGAGAATGTTGTAAATATAAGCAACAGAATACTATTCAACCATAGAAAAAAACCCTTTCAATTGCAGAAACATGGATGAACCTAGAGAACTTTGTTAAGTGAAATAAGCCAGGCACAGAAAGACAAATACCATATGTTCTCAGTCATATGTGGGAGCTAAAAAAGTTGATCTCATGGAGGTAATTTCCATTAGATAGCTATTTTCCCCAAATATGGGGGCAAAAATAGCTGGAAAGAGGTTTACAATGTTCAAGGAGAGTGGCAAAAGCACACCAAGGTGACTGTTGCCAGAAGCTGGAGGCTGGGGGGATGGGTGTAGGAAGGAGGGGAGATAGAAACTTGTCAATAGGAATAAAGTTAAGTTAGATAGGAGGGATAAGTTTTGGTGTTTTATTACATTAGGATGACTATAGTTAATATATCATATAGTTATATATAGTTATATATATATGTTATAGCATATATGTGTGTGTTTATATATATGTGTGTGTGTGTGTATTTGAATTGGAGTCTCACTTTGTCACACAGGCTGGAGTGCAGTGGCACACTCACAGCCACCACAGCCTTGATCTACTGGACTCTGATGATCCTTCTGTCTCAACCTTTCAAGTAGCTGGAATCATAGGCATGTACCAACACGTCCAGCTAACTTTTTGATTTATTGTAGAGATGAGGTCTTGCTAAATTGCCCAGGTTGGTGTCGAATTCCTAGGCTCAGGTAATCCTCTCACCTCGGCCTTCCAAAATGCTGGGATTACAGGCGTGAGCCACCACACCCAGTCTTATATTGTATATTTCAAAATAGCTAGAAGGGAGAACATGGGATGTTCTCACCACAAAGAAATGATAAATGAGGTGACAAATTTGCTAAATACCCTTATTTGATCATTACACAATGTATACATCATTAAAACATTCCACAGATAAGTGTAATTGTGTCAATTAAACATAAAATAAAACAACAAAAAAAGAAAAACCTAGGTAGCCTGAAAATTTCCATTAGATAGCTATTTTTCCCAAATATGAGGGCAAAAATAGCTGGAAAGAAGTTTACAATGTTCAAGGAGAGTGGCAAAAGCACACCAAGGAGACTGAAAGATGGATAGAAATCCTCTGACACCTCATGTAAGGCTAAAACTTAATAAAGATGTCAAGTAAATAGGACTGCAGATCCATGTGGCCCTATCAGAACAGGGACACACATCAAAAGACTTCCTGGGAAAGAACACTTGTTGGCAAATTTTATCCAATTCTCTGTTGGACATTGCTTCATTCAATAAAGATTGAAAATCTGCTAGACAGTCATCTCAGTCAACACACATGGTGAGATCAGGGTTAGGCTTTGTTTTTCTGTTTGTTAGTTTGTTTTTTGGACTACTTGTATAAACAAAAGAAAGTGAAGTATGTTTGAATAATTAGAAGATATTTAGTGTGGCCAGAAATAGAGAGTGGTGGGGAGACGTGATGAATCTTGACAAATCGGTGGATCCAGCTGCTTGAGAACCTTGAGTCACATGAAAGGTTTTTGGTTGGATTGTATTTTAATCAACGTGAAGCTACTAAATAATTTTTATTTGAGTTTATTAAAAATTTTTCAAAGTAATACATGCACAAGGTAAAAAATTAAATAGTACAGAAGGACTTAAAATGAAAAACACAGTTTCCAAACCATCCTTTTTAATCCATCTCATTCCCTAGAGGAAATGCTTTTAACAATATCTATATTTAGATCACTGGTAACTAACTTCCTAACTTTAAATAATATGTTTGAACAATAGTTTCTTGATTTATTAACTTTAGACAATTTTTAATAATTCCCCATTACAAAAGATAGGATTTAACGTACACTATCACCACTTTCCTTTGTCCATCTTTCTCCAAATGTTTGATGATGTCATTTTAATGCCGCTATTGGTTTAATTTATAGCTTTGAACAGTACACTAATCTTCTAGTTCTTGTTCCATTAACTGAAGATCTTATTTTTTCCTCCCCACTTTGAATATGTCAGTAGCCCCCACACATCTTTCAACTTCTCTTCCCTCAACAAATTCTCAAGCTTTTCCTTGTCAACATTACTTTCAACTTCAGCTCTGAATAAAATATTAAGCCTTTCATGCCTTTTCAATAGGCTGTTCTGAACACTGAATATCAATAAACGACATACACATTGTTTTGACTATGCAAACACTTCTTACTGAAAGCCAAGCAGAAGTTTCGGATATTTTCTTCCCTACACATCCAATATCCTGGTGCCTGTGCTACTGGGAAGGAAATGAACCTACCACTAATGTCAAATTGAGTCCTTTCTTATACTCCATGAGTAACTCAGAACCATGTCCATAATTAGACCTGGATTTTTTTGACATGTTTTTGTTTTTCTTTTTTCTTGACTGAAGAATGTTCTCAAATATTTCATCTCCTCAATGATATTAACTATGGCACAGAATGCATCATCTTCCCAGAGAGTCTGAGACTGTCTACTCTCATCTGACATGGGTCTACTGGATAACTGCCAATCTATCTAGAATGAGACATCCTTTTGAATAACTCTGGAGTGAGACATCCTTTAGAATAACTCTGGAGTGAGACATCCCAAGTAAGGTCTATTGTCTCCGGATGCCACCTTCCTCTTTTCTGGTTTTCATTCTCATTTTCCTGAACTTCCTCAAGTTACTTCCTTAGTAAGGGTACAAAGGATGCAGACTTTCTGAAATATCAGAAAATGATATTCTGCATATCAGAAAATATCTTCATTTTGACATTGCTCTTGACAGTTTGCTTGTTATGAAATTATGGGTCCAAAAATTTTCCATAAGTTATGTGACGATGTTGCTCCATTGGTCTCTGGCATTCAATGTTGCTGATAAAAAAAATCTGCTGCCAGTCTATTTCTCATCTTTTTTCTGTTGAGCTAATCATGATGTTCACATTTTTTTCTCCTTAGGTAATTTTACTATCTCCCTACTATCCTGAATATTCCAAAATTTCACAAGATTTGTGTGTAGATGTAGATTGTGTTAGGCCCTCTCAATTTGGACACTTTGTTCTTTTCTTTGATTTTTTTTTTTTAACCTATATTTTCTATGTTCTCTCATCCAGGAGTTCCTAAAATATGTTGATTGTCTATTTTCTTTCCTTTATCCATATTTTCTATTTCTTTTTGCTCTACATCTAGAGAGAGTCTCTTAATTTTATTTTTCAGTTTGTCTACTGAATTCTTTTGGTAATTTTATTTTACTTTCAAAGAGCTCTTCTTATTCTCAAGAGGTTTTTTTGTAGCATTCTGTTTTTATATTACAAAAAGATACATCTCAAATCTTTCTGGCAATATAGTTAGAATTTTACCTTATTTTTTCCACATTGATTTTGTTTCCTCAGAGTTTGTCATATTTTCAAGTGCCCTAATTCTACCTGGTGATGTTTCTTATGCTTCTCCCCTTTCTTCCTTTCTCCTCCATCTATGTCTGGGAATTCCTAGCTTGCCATTCACAATTAAGAATCAACATAACTACTGCCTTTTACAGGTGTTGATGTGGGTTTCTTCTGTTGTTGTGTACATGAATATGTTTTTCCAGTAAGCCTCTTCTATCCCTGGAAGCATTGGGCACTTGAGTAGAGGTCTGAATTGTCAGTATAGAATTAGCCGATAGTCTGGGGGCCACTTATTTTCACAAAAACAGAGATTTTATTCTGGAGCACCAACTCTTACCTTTCTTCAGGCAGTTTATTCAATTCCTGTATAAAACAACAGCAACAACAACAACAATAATAACAACAACAACAACACATTTTAAACTGGTGCTGACAGTAGGCTGCCTCTGTTCTGTGCACAAGAGTGAGGGTAGAGTAGGATTGAGTTCAATTTTACAACTGGCACAATTCTTTAGTAGATAAATATACAGATGCTCAGGTCTCTTTGGGGTTATGTTGTTCAGATCAGTTTATATTTTGTCTGAAAAGTGCCTTCACTCTTTCATTCATTACCATGATTCATCCACTTTCTTTCTTCCAGAAATGTGTTGAGATCTTCTCCACTTATAACCAAATCCCTTCAATTCTCTTTGCTGAGATGTGTCAATTCCCTTTTGTATTTCTTGGCTTCAATTTCAGTGGGGCCTGGGGAGGGAGGGAGGGGAAGTAAACTTATATGTTCAGTCCATCATCTTAAATTGGAAATCCCACTGGAAGCTTTTGGACAGGGGAGTAACATGGATTACTTTATATTTTAAAAGGTCCCCAGACTGTACTGCTAAAAACGGCTTAAAGAGGGCAAGAATGGATGCAACTATTATCCTAAAAGATTGAGAATATAATTTCCTCTCTGAGAACATGCAGTGTCTGAGATCCTTGGGAGTTAGGCACTTTAGCAAAATAGCCCATAATTAAAAATCCAACAAAGAATGCTTTCTTCGTACCTTAGAGAGAGTGACTAAAACCTGAGTAACTCAGAACGTAAAACTCTTGGCTGATGCTAAAGGTTCACCCCAGCTCTACCTATTGGAAGCACTTTGGGAGCCTATCTTAAATTCCTCCCTTGAACTGCCATAAAAAGTTTTGGGGATAAACAAAGGAACTCTTTGTTCTAATAAAATAAGATGAAGGACATAAGCAGAAAATGTTCTGTCAAGTAGGGACATAAAGATCCTTCTGTTTGCTGGTTGGCTTCTCTATTTATTCATTTATTTGGTCATTCAAAGCACTGCAGTTATGGACACTAATTCTGTAATAAGAATGTTCGGTGGGTTCAAATCTCAGATCTACCACTTATTAGCAATATAGTGGTAGATAATTTAATCTTCATAAAATTCAGTTCTCTCTTTCATAAAACGGGACTGGTAATAATTAAATGAAATAATCGATTCAAAGGAACAAAAGCTGGCATATACTCAATACCCCATAATTGATTCCAATTATTTAAAATGTTGAACCAAAATTCAACATCTAATATTTAAGACACATAGACAATGGATATCCATGAAATCAGGGGAAATAATTCTGGAGTGAGAAATGAGATAAAGGATTACAAAGAAAATCTTTATATAGGTTAAACCTTATTGTCTACACAGTCATTCAATTACCAGTTAAGCTAATAAAATGGTTTATGAAAAAACAAACTTAATTTTTAAAATGAGCTAAAGGAAAATTGGCTAGATGTACATAACAGCAATCCTAGGGATCAGACTCTAGTTAAAACTACACAGAAATGGGAGATTCTGAATAAAATTTGAAGAAAATTTAGGACAATCTTTGAATCTGTGGTAATGAAATGGAATCTGGGTCAGCTCTATCCAATTATCTTGTTCCAAAGTAAAGTTCTCTCTGATGAGTGAACTTTGTCTGCCAAACTGATGAGTAACTCATGAAGTGAATGTATCCTGAATCTATGTCACTACAGAAATAGAAACACTATCATGAAGCTGGATGCCTACTGTCTGCTAAGGACAAGCATCATCATAAAATTGTTCTGATTTTTTCAAGACTTCCACTCTTGATTTAATCAAAAGAATAATTTGATTTGAAAGAATTGGATAAAGAGATCAAACCTTAAGTAGCTTTAAAAACTCCAACTGTGGATTTAGAGCTATTTATTTATTGAAACAGGGTCTCACTCTGTCACCCAGGCTAGAGTGCAGTGGCCCAATCATGGCTCACTACAGCCTCAATCTCTTGGGCTCAGGTGATCTTTCTGCCTCAGCCTCCTGGATAGCTGATGCTACAGGTGCACACCACCACACCAGGCATATTTTTTGTAAAGATAAGATCTCACTATGTTGTCTAGGTTGGTCAATCAACTCTCCTACTTTGGCCTCCCAAAGTGCTGGGATTACAGGCGTGAGCCACCTGTTCAGCCTAGAGTTCTTCCTTTAGATTAATAAAGTAACATGCCAGAATCCTTTCAAAGGTTGATGTATAAAGTGTAAGATGGGATAGGATTAATTACTACTGCCTCTGTAAATACCATCTAAGAGTAAAGCCCAGTTCTAAAATTATATTGAATTAGTTCGACAATAAAAATGTCAGGTGACATTTCCCCAGCACCTACTAATTGCCAGAAACGATTCTCATCACTTTTAGAGTACTGTAGAACTTAACTCTCACTATAAACCTACAAAATAGATTTCATTTTATAGATAAGAAAACTGAGACAGGAAGAAGTTAAGGAACGTGCCAAGGTTATACAACTAATAGGTCAAAGAACCAAGATTTAGATGTAGGGAGTCTACTTGTAGAAATGATAGTCTCAACTTCTAAGCTCTGGGGAAAGGATAGAAAGCTCATTAACCCATGGATCAGCATAAAATAGAACATCCCCTTCCTTAGATGGCATGCACTGTATAGGATGAAAACCTCTTCATAATTAACAGTCTGAACATTCATGACAACTCCTTGAGGCAGGAATTTTTAATCCTCATTTCACACACAGGATATGGGAGTACAAAGATGAAATGACTTTCCCAAGAGCTAATCTTAGTTCTGGGCTCTTCTCATCTTACCAGACTTCTTGTCAAGTGCTGTGAAAATTACTCAAGACACAAAATACATGAGTCCTCAGGGAGCTGTCTGGGTCTCATGGTAAATTTGTGTTCCAGTTGAGTTCCATGATCAGGATTTTGGAATAAATGATCAAAAATAAAAGCCCAGGGAGAGGCCTCAGGATGTCAAGATGAGACCCACCAATATTGGGCTACAGTTCACGATAGTAAATCGAGAGTTAGTATAGAAACAGGTGCCAATGTGCTGAGAAATGGGTCAGTGCAAGGTCAGGAGGGAATCTGATAGCTGACAGCAGAGGAAAAAGACTCATAAACAGAAGGCCTTGTTCCTGAAATATAGCTTCCACTTTTGGCTATGTTCTTAACCTACTTCCTAGGGATGGAAGTCAGTAATAAGTACAGGGGCAACGAACTAAGAGGACAAGGCCAGACCCTAGGAGGCAGAGACAGAGAAGTGAATCCCTATCTCTGCCTACTTCCCCAAACCTCTCTACCTGCCACCTCGATGGGCACTTCTTACATCTGTGTGAGGAGGTATAATTTCATAATATTTTCCTTCCATTCAGGCAGATAGGCCAGGCTGGTAGCCACCTCCTTCTGAACAGGCCAGGCCCAGGCCTCAAAGAACGGAGCCAGGTTCTTCTGCACTTGGTGGGAGAACATCTTGACCCACAGATTCATTTTGTCGACATTATCTGTAGGCAAATTGGTCTGGTTCCTATATTCAGTGAAGAGACGGATAAATGGCTCCCAACCAAAGGCCTCCTGTAGCTGGAAAGAAAAAGAAAAATCAGGATGAGATATTTAATTACAGAAAGAGGGCCAAACAAACACCATAATAAGTGCATTTAATTTATTTAACCCCTTATCCATCAACTTCGTGTTTCTCACTGACTGCTCCTCTATTTTGCCTACTGACCTCATGCCCTGTCATCTCACATTCTAATCTTAAGGGCCTCTGGGATAGCATGGTGTTTGGCACAAGATGGGACCTCAATCAGTGACAGCTGTAGCAATAAGTGCAATGATTAATATCAATATTTTCTACTAATATCATTATGCATAGATCCACTAGATCATGAAATTAGTGATATGTTATTACACAAGAATCTAAAACTGGCTGGAATAGAAAAAAAATCTCTTCTATTTCATAGTTGTAAAGTTAAATCCCAACAACTGAGAAACTCCCACCCCTATACTGACCTGATGAAATCCTCAGTAATCATAGGTCTGTGTCAATTTGCAAGGCTACTAAAGTGACCTTTGAGAAAAAAAGTGAGTCAGGAAGAAGTAGAAGATCATAGTCTAGGTAACAAGAATTAAGAGTAAGTTATAATTTTCAGGCTGTGCACGGTTGCTCACACCTATAATCCCAGCATTTTGGGAGACAGAAGTGAGAGCATTTTCTGAGACTAGGGTTCAAGACCATCCTGGTCAACTTGGCGAGACCTCATCTCTATAATAAATAAAAAAATAGGCTGTTGTAGTGGCACCGCCTATAGGTCCAGCTACTCAGAAGGCTGAGATGGAAGGACCGCCTGAGCCCAGCAGGCTGAGGCTGCGGTGGCTGTGAGCATGCCACTGCATTCCAGCCTGGGTGAAAGAGCGAGACTCTGACTCAAATAAAAACAAAGAGTAAGTTATAATTTCTGAAAAAGCCAGCTGTTCTGAGGCCATTGGAAATTCCTCCTGATAGCCAAGGTTACAGTGTTAAGAGGCACTTGAGAAGTTCCTTAGACTACCCTCAAATTTATTTCACCAAAAACTTTTGTTCTTGGGGCAAAGCAGCCATGACAAAGTAGAGCCTCCCTGACTGCTTCACACTGCTCTCTTGGCAGTGAGAATAAACAGAGAGGAACTCGAGCAGGTGAATGAACCAGAATAGAACATGGCTGGCCTGGGACTGAGTTCCGGAATTCAAGGTGATGAAACTTTCCATGGTGTGCTAGGAACTGCACAAGGTGTTGGGAGGGAACTGGGGCATGACACAGTAGGTCAAAGGCAAAGGTAAACTCCATGTTCGGGTCAGTGAGGAATCTTGGATTGCCTACATAAGGTGGAATCTGAGGAACAGCCAAGTCATAACGAAAGACGGTATACTCACTTAAGGGAAAAGAAAGGTCATATCCCATGTATTGCATGTGTGCGGAAGAGGGAGGGCGCTATTTGGTGTTAGATGGATATCAAGTAAGAGAGTGTGGTTTCAGCCCCAGGCATGTCGGGCTTTAAAGTCAGCCAGAGAGAATAAGTGTGTTTACAGCACTACATTTGCCTCTACCATTTTAACCTTTCTCAGTGCTTTCTATTTACTCTCATGTATCTGTATAAGGTGGAGAGTGAGGCTGAGGCTATCAAGTTCACTTTAGGGTTATGCAAAGCAATGTACTAAGGCATCCTCAAGTGCGACTGTCACATCTGGCTTTTGTCAGGGTCACCCATGGCCTGGTGTGGAAGATAGATATAATGGGAAGTCTCCTGAGTCTCTAGAACATCATCTTGACAATGTTGTCCTGGTAGTGCATGCAGTAGGGGCTCCTGTCACCCTCCATTTTTTCCAATACCTGTAAATATGTTTCCAGTGCAGTCCACGCATTCCAGTTTTTCAAATTGGGACCCTTGCTCAGGTATATTCTGACTCTCTTCTCCCGAACTGGAGGCCACAGAGCAATATTGGCACGGCCTCGAGGAATACCCAAGACTGTCTCATGTACATACACACACCACAGGTTGCAGGTGGCCTCGGTAGTGTGTGGTGGGAACTCCCACTCCTGCCGCTGTTGGTTGCGGCCCAGCTCGTGGACAGGGCCCCACAGTCCCTTGGTTCTGATGAGCTTCTCACTGATGAGCTCCTGTACCGACTCCAGATGGCACATGATGGGGTACCCTGCATGCATCCAGCCTGGAAAATGCAGGAAGTAGGAAGAGAGGGTGAGGGTCCTCTCCACCCAACTCATCTTATTAGTCTATGTATTTTGTGTCTTTCAAAATGCCCAGTAGCCCAGGGTGACTTCCAATACCCCATAATGCTCAGAAGAGCAATCCAAACCAAGAACCTCCTAGGTGCTCCTTCCTATTCTCTCATTCTGTAAGAAGACCTTTATCTCCACTCTGACTTGAAATAGTGTGGCTATAAGAGTGGATACAGTTTACAAAGAGCCATTTATGTTGCCCCTCAATTTTTCGAATTTTATGAGGATGCCTTATCCAGGTGAATCTTTGTCATTATACCCTTTTCGCAAAATTCAAAACTCTTTGAGGGTGGCTCCCCGCTCATTACTTAGATATGGAGTTGTCCACACTGTCATCTATCAAAGCCCAGAAAATGAGGGTCTAGAGAAATTTCCGTGGTTTGTTAATGTCTATACACCTCATTTTTAAAGCTCCTTGACCCATAGACAAAGATCTCTTTATTCAGTGTCTTCTCAACATTGTAAAATTCCTTCTCCCAACAACTCTGACCTCTGCCATTTTTATTCACTCCTTGAAGTCCCTGATGGACACCTGTGAAAGTGCAAGTGATAGCTCTTAATGTCTTTGATGACCTCTCTTGACGTGCTTAAATTGTTATTTATTTTTTATATACATTTTTTTCCTTTCCATTTAAATAGTAAGGGTTGCATCTATATGTCTTGCTATCAAATTATGTAAGTAACCACTGGCAGGCCACTGCATGGTTACTGAAACAAAAGAAGGTACTTGGAGGTATGCATGGAGGGTTCACTCAGACCACTCACCAACAGAGATCTGCACGTCAGCAACGATCCTCTGAGGCAGACGCAAAGGGAAGGGCTCGGCTCCCAGCCTTGCCACTGCTTGCATCACCTCATCCCAGAGGCGGAGCAGTGGCTCAGGATTCTCTAGAGTACGAAGATTTGAGGTGGGCACTGTCAGGATGATGTTGTCCGTGGCCAACTCTCCCCAGGGACCTGGATTCTCCTGGATACGCCTCTTCCACTCCTCTAGGGTTGTCTCCCCTAGGGAGAAGTAATCAGGCTTGAAACACACTTTTCTAAGTCCCCAGGAAAAGAACATAAAAATCATGAACAACCACGTCTCATCCCCTCTGTCCTACTTCTATGAAGTTCCCAAGGACACGGTTTGGTCTTTATCTTCGATGTCCCAAAGCTGAATCTAAGGAAGTTGACCCTTCTTGTTCCACCTGTTTGTGTCTCCCTCCTGCTACACCAAAGCCCTGATCACATTCTTACCCTAGTTCTTCTCCTTTCCTCAGGTGCACCCCAGGGTTTCCACTCACCCAGCTTGTAGTATGGAGCATGCACAGCTCCCTTCACGGTGACAGGCACGGAGCCCAGTTTGCTGTTCTGAGGGACGATGATATAGAGGAGTCCACTCCAGAGGCATGTGATCGCTTTTGTGGGTTTGTCCAAGCAGCACCGGTTAATCACAAGCGGGCCTCGGAAAAGCTTGCTGGCCCTGGTCAGGTCATCTGTATGGCAGCCAATCTGTATCTGAAGTATAGAGATACCTCTACAAAATCACCATGGGACATATGTGGGTGGAACAAGAGAGCTGAGCAGGTAAGGATTCAGGAAGGGTCATTAAGTCATGACCCCAAGCAAGCTTGGCCTTCCTATCATGGATTAACCGTATGTGGTAAATCTGTGAAATTGTAGCCTTCCTTGAGGTCATTTGTAAATATTCTCCCAAGGGATTCAAACAGCTCTGCAATAGGTCATATTGAGACTGTAATATGAGGAGCACCATGTGTGACCCACAAAGCCAATTCTGAAAAGAACTGACTTCCACAAAATGGTGTCTCTGACAGAAAAGAATGCACTTGGAGGTGGCATGCACGGAGGGTTCACTCAGACTTAGTTGCCTATTCCATGGTGGTGATTCTAGCATTTGGAATAAGAAAGAGGAGACCCTGCCTTTTGCTGATTAGAGAGAGGGCCCAGTGAGAGGCAACGCAATTTGGCTAAGGTAGTGGAGAGTTGACGCAATTTCTCCTTTTGCTCCAAGGTTCATATTTTTGAGCATGTACTTGGTAGAGTCTTGGGTTTTGTTTCCCTAGGTTTCTGCTAACCAAGTTTCAGGACAGATATAGGCTCAGAATAGATCTTAACCATTACAATGACCTTCAAGGGGGATAGAGCAGAAGTGCAAATTTAATTTACCAATAGGATGTGTGCATGTTAAAGTGACAGAGTGGAACATTGATGGACTGAGCAATCAATAACAGTTTTTGATGTCATGGGCAAGAATAGAGTCAGAAAGACCTTGTGCATGGAAATGTACATGAGGATGGAAAGTGAACTAAGACTTACTGCATTCTTACTGTGTGTTAAAGTACCTTCCAGTTGATGTCTCTCTTATTCCCCACTTGATGACATAAGTCTAAAGCACAACATTTAAGAGCCAGAGTGGGTTAGGTTTGAGGCTTGGGCCCTGAGATGTAGCAACTCCATACATTTGAATCAATCAATTAGCTTTTTTGTACCTTAACTGCATCATCTGTAAAATAGGTGTGAAAATACCTGTCCTGCATTGCCAAAAGGGTTTTATAAGAACCAAATGAGATACTGACTGTGTAGGCAACAGTCAGGTTTTGGGCTCCACGTTACATGGTGAGATGGGGCATGGCTTTACCTTCAGGTCAGCAGAGGCAGCAGCTTCAGGCAGTGAGACTTCTATAATTTGCCTTCCAGGTATGTAGAGTCCAGTACTCATCCAACAGTATCTGGTGCCTGCCAAAAGCATAGGAAGGGCAGATAGACTTTATCCCATCTCCATGACTGCATATCCACCAGGATTTCCAGAGACCCTTCATGAGCTCTGCACATCTCTTCCCCTTTCATGCTGACTCAACTCTCCCAAACAGTCTCTTAAATCCCAATCCCTATCTTCTTCAATGTACAGGGTTAAGGATAGAGACCACCCTCTGGAGAGGATCAGATCTCTGAAATGAACTTCTGAAGTCACCCTGTCTCTATTCCCCAGTTGATTCCCACAATAATGAGCTCTTACCCCTCATTCCTTACCTGGATTGGTGCAGTTGACCTCCACGGTGATAGGAGATTCCGAGGGGCGGAGGTAGGGGCTGCTATACATATCTTCAATTTCTGGGACTAACAGAGAGAGATCACTTCCAGAATGGGCCAGACCCGTGGCCAGGGAAAGCATGGCACCCCTGCAGCAGTCATTGATAACAGGATTCTCTCGGGTGGCTACTGGGAGCCGGTATCGACTTAGCAGCTTTCTCAGGAGTCGATGCACGGACATATAGGCAGGGATCTCTTCTGCAGGAATCTGTAGGAAAGCTGCACCATCTGGTCCCAGCTTTGCCAACCAGCCCTTTTCGACATTACCTCTCTTCCTGCCCATTATAACCTGGAACTCGGCCAGAGTGGAGCGGAAGTGATAGGTCCTTATCCCTGCTTTAGGAGTACGAAAAGGCCCTGGATTCAGGCTTTGACTTGTGATGCTGATGCCAAAGGGGTTGAGGAGGAGATTTCCTGGGAATCGAGCCAGAGGGGATACTCCTGGGTTCTTGAAGGCCCACCACCAGGCTTGGGCTCCAACAAATAGCCCGCCACCCTCTGCTACAAACTCCTGCAGCTCTTTGACTCCCACTTCACTCACAGGTTCAAAGCAATAGACACTGGCATCGCTGGTCAGATTGGGTTCAATGCTTGTGTCTATGCCCCCCACTGCGAGCAGGCTACTCAGGGTTCTCAGCTCTGTCTGCACCACAATCTTGCCTCTGCGGCCCCCATCTAGCCAGCGAACAGCATTGAGCAGAAAGGGGCCCAATTTACTAACGGTGAATAATACCTTATGGCCAGTCACAACCACCCTGCCTCGGCCATAGCGGGCAGCTGCTATAACACAGCCATGGTAGGAATCTAACCCTAGAGGAAAGGCTAAAGCCCCATGCACTAGCAGCTGGGATGGGAAACAATCCGAGTTACTGATGTCCAGCTCTGAAATCCCATGCAGGAGCTCCTCTCTGTCCTCGGAGAGGTCATCTTCACAACTGCAAAAGATACATGCATTTTCTATTAGAGGAATGGATCAAAGACGACTGGTATATAGCAAGCATTATAGATGTGTTGATTTTGCTAACATTGTTGCTTTTAGCTCTTACAGGAGAGCTGGGAGAAAAAAATGGGCAGATCTGACCTCACTGGGTATGGAGATTTGGAAGGATGACTGAGAGACTTGGCATTAATTCTGCTTTTCTCATTCCCAGAGCACAAATTCTCCAAAAGAAATTGCTAAGACAGTCCTGCTGTGTTTACTCAATACTGTAGCTTAGATATTCAGCCCTTGAAACAGCATATAGAAAGTGGAATGGGAAATCATGTGGGGTTTTTTGGTTTGTTTTTTGAGTCAGAGTCTCACTCTGTCACTCAGGCTGGAGCGCAGTGGCACACTCACAGTCACCACAGCCTCAATGTCTGCTAAGGGGATCCTTCCACCACTCTTCCAAGTAGCTGGAACTATAGCCACATGCCATCATGCCTGGTTTATTTATTTATTTATTTGATTTATTGTAGAGATGAGGTCTTGCCAAGTTGCCCAGGTTGATCTGTTTATTTATTTATTTGATTTATTGTGGAGATAAGGTCTTGTCAAGATGCCCAGGCTGGTCTGGCTTTCTTATTTATTTATTTATTTATTTGTTGTAGAGATGAGGTCTCATCAAATTGGGTTAGTCTGGCTTATTTATTTATTTATTTATTGCAGAGATGAGGTCTTGCCAAGTTGCCTAGGCTGGCCTCGCACTCTGGGCTCAGGCAAACCCATCACCTCTGCCTCTCAAAGTGCTAGAATTACAGGCATGAACCACCACGTCCAGCTATTGTTTTTTTTTCCCTTAAGAAGAGTCTTACCTATAAATTTCAAGGAGCTAATTTCCTACAAATAAGGTATACGGAAAGTTGAGTTAGTAGTGTTCGTGAAGAATCATTATTATCTCAAAAGGTGGGACAGGGAACTAACTGGTCTCAACTCTAGTGAGACTGGGTTAGTCAAACCCAGGAGGACTTAATGGTTTGTTTCTAGAATTTTATTTATATGTTGCCTACCCAACGGAGAGATGCATATCCATGCTATGAAGTTTTGCTCAGCACAGTAAGTTTACTGTCTGGAGGCAACCCAGTTCTAGAAAACCTGGACACCCATCAACTTGAAATGGGAGATGAAGTCCTGGACACCTAGTAGAGTTATTGAAGGTAAGGGGTGGAGTGATTGCTACAAAAGGGGAACCCAAAGAAACTGGAATTATCTTTTTGGAGTGTGGGCCCCTTACAGCAAACTCAGAATTTGTTCCTCTGGATCAAACAGTCAACCAAAGTTTCTGACTGGAAGTTTTGAAAAGGTTGCATCACAGTTTGCAGAAGAAACATCCTGAGTTATAGCAAACAAGTAACTGGATCTTCTACCATGGCAACACACCTGCCCACTCTGCGCTAAGTGAGTGTTCAGCAGTTTTTGACCAAAAATGGCATGACCCCCATGTCCCATCCTCCCTATTCACCTGATCTCACCCCAAGCAACTTTTTCTGTTTCCTTGGATGAAAAAAGTCCTCAAAGGGAAATGTTTTGCAGATGTGGAAGAGGTGAAACAAAAAATGACAGAAGCATTAAAATGTATCAAAATTGATGTGTTTAAGAACTGTTTTGAGTCGTGAAAAAAAGCATCTTGATAGGTATATTGCATCAAACAAAGAGTACTTTGAAGGTGACCAAAGTTAAACATGTAAGAATAAACACACAATTCTTAATAAATAAATTCCTGGGGTTTTTGGGGTTCACCCTTATATAAGCTTGAGATTTGAAGCTGATTCTACCACTTTTGTTGTGGCAACTGTATGGTCAGTTGTAAGAAAACAACAACAAAAAAGAAAAAAAACAGGGGTCAGGTAAAAAACATATTCACAGCATTTGTGCTGTACTATCTGTGGCTCACAGAGCTCTAACTAACCAATGAGAACACTGTGTGGTCCTCTTAGCAAGTACAACCTTTTCCTGAAGATAAAGAAAGGTACAACCTTATAGATGGTGATGACTCTCCAACTCTTTAAAGCACTAATCATTAAAATCATTCAACTAGCTCTTCTTGCTCTGATTCCAGGCTTACCAAATAACTTTTTGATTATAATATTGCTTCCCATGATCACTTGCCTAATGAGAGAAAGAATTCATTGATCAGACCAACCAGAATGTTCTAGTTTTGTGAAATGTATTTTTCTCAAGGAACATCTCAGACAGTCTATCTTTAATTTGGTGATTCTAAATTTTTAAAAATTGTTTTTATTTTAGTACTTTAAACATGGATACAAAATTAAATGGAAAATGTGTTTTAATTCTTATAATAAGGAGTTGTTTATAAATTTCATGCAAAAATTTTTTTATAAGGTCAGTGAAGAAGTAGTTTCTTGTGTTCTAAATAATTACATCAGCATCAAGATTTCTACACGAGCCTGTTGTAGCAAGATGAGAGACACTGAAGTTGCAAAACTGAGACTCAGACACTGAGCCTCTAGAACTTCATCTAGACAACAACACTATATGGTTTGCTGATCAGAGCTTAGCTAGGGAGGCATCTTCAGAGACATCTATCTGTTAGGCCCAACAGTCATGACTTATATATAGGAAGAACTAAATAATTGCTTCATACACTGGAAAAACAAGAATTGGATTTCACTTCTCTTTCTTGCCCTCTTCTGAAATGAAACAAAATTTATTAAAATAAAATAAATCCATAATAGCACTGAATTTTGAGAAGAGTGCAGTCGGCAAAATGGGACAGTTGGGCATTTATAGAAAGTATAAATCAAGTGGAATCAGGTTGATTAGAAGTCCATGAAACAGAAGAATCTGTAACCATATGCATGTGAAAGAGAAGATGGAGAAAACAAAAGACCAAGAGTTATCATTTATCCTGAGAAAATATACTACAGTAATCAGTAATACTCAATCTAGGATTTCAATATAATTTAAATTTTAAACAAATACGAATCACCAAATATTTCACAAAAACTAGCAGCATGTAAGAGAAGCAGTAAACTAAACCAACTCCTAAGGAAAAAGCAGCAATAGGTGGAGAAGAAAGTTCTAGATAAATTGTATATCATTGCAAAGTTTTGAGAAGATATATTTTCTGTCAAAAAAATGGGACAAACTGCTATAGTTAATGATTAGAATGAAAATGTAATTGTCAAACACATAATCCCAATTTTAATGGATGGGAGTAAAATAAGTCTTGATCTAGCTGAAGACTGTAAATAAGTAAACTGAAAAATTGAGCAAAGTGACTCTTCCAGAGAGAAGTGCTAAAGGTAAAAAAAAAAAAAGAATATTATCAAAAAAAAGTTAAGAGACAATGAAGGTTCGATCAGAAGATCTAACAACTAGCAACTAAGAGTTCCAAATAAGAAAAAAAAAAAAAAAGAAAGAAAGAAAGAAAAGAAAAGAAAAGAAAAAAACCAGAGAAAAAAGAAGAACCAAACACAAAATGAGAGGAACATTCCTTTGGGTTGGAAACATTTGAATTTTCAAAATGCAATGACTATCTGAACGCAAAGTAGGATAAAGGAAATAAAGTGAAGTATCTAGTCAATTACTGGTGAATTTATGAACTTCAAATAAAAGAAAAAATCTTGAGGGTTCCCAGGAAGAAAATAAAAATCACCTACAAAGTATTTTAGCTGCATAAGATTTTTCTCAGCACATGAGAACCCTGAAGATAATGTCAAAATGGCTTATGAAATTTACCATACATGAAACTTTCCCCAGAAAGTTACTTGAGGTTATGCTGTAGGCCTAAAAAAATAAAAATAAATATGATAGAGGAACAAATTGGCTATAAAAACCTGTAGTGGGTAAAGATACCAGTAAAATTCATAACTATTGCTGAAAACTGCTGATACATTTCCTATGATACTTGATGTAGTTGGTAAGAACTAATTACAAACTAATAGAGTCATACTGTTAAAAGCAAAGCAAACAAAGAAACAAAGCAAAATTAGGCAAAACCAAGTTGGAAGCAAAATACCAGATAATTTCAAAAACACCTAGGTGGTAAGGGATAGGCACAAAAAGTGGAATAATGGGACAAATAAAAGTTATTTATTGGAAGGAAATGTAGATTATAAATACTAGTTAATTCTCAATGCAGATTAAAAAATATGATTGTACTTAAACATTAAAGGTAACAAGCCAAACATATATATTTGTATATAATAAAGGTGGCATCTTAGTTACTAGAGAAAAGATCGATATTCTCATAAGTGTTGTTGGACCAACTGAATGGCCACTTGGAAAAAAAGATAAACTGGACTTATTCTTCATCTAATACACAAGAAAAAAATTCCAAATGCCATCAGAGATATAAATTTAAAAAATAAAATCACACAAATACTAGAAGCAGACAAGAATTATTATTATTTTTTAATAATCTGGGTGTTGCAAAAGGCTTGCTAACCATGACACAGAATCAGATGCAATAATAAAATGATTGACAAAATTAGCAGTATACATGTAAATGTTTTTGCAAAAATACTAAGCACACATCCAAAAGGCAAATGTAATATAAATTATAAGTGTAGGACTAATGTTCTTAATATGTAAAGAATTCTTAAAATGGAAAGAACACCAAAAACCCAGTAGAAAAATGGGCAAAATGCACAGACAGTTCACAAACAGAAAATAATAAGTGATTCTTAGACACAAAATAATAATTAAGTTTACTCATTGTAAGAAGAATGCAAATTAAAACTATATTTGAATATCCTTTCCCCGCTATCAGATAGGCAAAAACTCAAGAGCTGACAACTACTCTATTGGACATCAGTGAAATAATAAGCATTCTCTTATATTGCTGATGAGAGTGCCAAATAGTACAAACCAATAAAGAGAAAAATTGGGCAACTTCTAACAAAAGTATGCATACTTTTTTTCTTTGACCTAGCAATTCTACCACTAGAAAATTACCCAAAAGGTGCAACTCCAACAAAGTGAAAAAAAAAT